AGCATTGCCAAAAAGGCATTAGGAATTGTTAACCTAATTTTACAAAGCTTCTTCTCCAGTAACATTGTACTGCTAACTCGGGCATACAAAACCTTTGCCAGACCAATTCTTGAATACAGCTCGTCTGCCTGGAATCCACACTGTATATCGGACATTAATAAAATTGAGCGGGTCCAGAGGTATTTCACGAGAAGAGTACTTCACCCCTCTGCTCACAATAGAATCCCTTATGCCACCAGGCTTGAAACTTTTGGTTTGGACAATCTGGAACTGCGCCGTCTGCGGTCTGATATAAGCATAGTACACAAAATTGTCTGCTACAACATCTTACTTGTCAACGACTTCTTCAGCTTCAACCTTAATAATATCATGGGCAAACAATAGATAAAAACTGAAGGTAAACCGCTCCAAACTCGATTGCAGAAAATATGACTTCAGCAACAGAGTGGTCAACGCCTAGAATGCTCTACCCGACTCCGTTGTTACATTCTCAAACCCTCACAGCTTCAACTTTAAACTGTGTACTGTGGACCTCACCCCATTCCTAAGAGGTCCATAAAGGGGGCATGCATAAGCGCACCAGCGTGCCTACCATCCCTGTCCTACTGTTCCCATTTATTTGTACTCCGTTCCTTCATTTATGTCCATGTTCATATCTATACCTGCCAACTTGTACATGTTTGACAAATAAATAAATAAATCAACATCCAGACGAACAGCGATTAACGCCAAGATTAATATTAGATTAAGAAGTAAACAATACCCTAATCCAGCTAATAGTAAATAGCTGAACCAAGGAACCACTGATGGAGCAAGCCACCAGAATATAAAAGAAGGGCAAACCTCTAGTGCTGGTGATGTGGTAGTGAAACTGCAAGAAAAGAATCTTGGCACCAAGGACTTCCCATTTCAACCCTGAGCTACAAATATTCTCTACCAGAGTTCATGTTGCACAATTTGTGAGAACCCATGCTGACTGCTGTTAATTGTAGCATGGCCCTCCAAGCATTTCATCACCTGTTTTGAGGGCTTTGCTAAATATACGCATCATGATGACAGGATCTGTAGCTTCCTGGGCGCTCCTCCCTATTTTGGTTTTATAAAAGGTTGGACCAATTCATGGAAATCACGAGGATCAGTCCTAGTCTTGGTAGCAATGGGATTGCCTCTGAAGCCCATCTGCTGGGAGATTAGTAGGCTTTCTTGTGTGGTTGGTTAGCCACTCTGAGAACAGCCTGCCGGACTAGGAGATCCAGGGTTCCAGTCCTGAAGGGTATAGCTTATACTTATATTCTTAAGGGGATACTTTTGTTCTGCTCTCATCTGGGACCTCTCCAGTAGTGGGTTGCAAATCCCATTGCTACTGGTTCACTTGGTGCTCCTGTGTGCGCGATGCTTCTGCGCATGCACAGAAGCATCCAGGCAGGTAGGCAGATCCTCCCGTTGCCACCGCTGCTACTGGTTCTCCTGATCCGGGGCGAACCGGTAGCAATCCACCACTGGACCTCTCTGGTCCTTCGGGAGTTTTCGATAATTACTGAGAATAGTTTTGTGATCACTGCTGCTGGTTCCTTCTGTGCATTGGGAGGCAATCCATCTTATCCTGAAGCATGAATTGAGTGGAATTAACTAATCCATTCCTATCCTTTTCTGGTCTATCCTAAAAATCAGGAGGAGTCTGGTAGTACATTTTTAAGTTAACAAATTAACTTGGTTAACAAGGACCTTGCAGGTCATTAAGTGAGGATCTCACATGACCGTGAATTTTGGCTTATTGCCAGCTTCCTCATTGCTTTGAGGAAGTTGGCAGGGAATCTTGGAAGTCAGGACCATGTGGTTGTGGCTCATAGCAACTTTGTAATTGTGAACTAGCCCCAAGAACCTGGATTGTAGTCATGGGACTGGAGGTGCACTATGACAGTCAGAACTCTGAGGACCCATCACAACTTCTTATTTTTCAGTGCCGTCACAAGTTTGAATGGTCTCTGAAGTAAGTGTTGTAACGTGAGGGCCGCCTGTAATCACTAGAGACTGTCTTGTATTCTTCGGTTACATTCTCGTTCCATTTTCTGCATGTGATGTTTTTGTTCTTTGGTATTTTAATCAACTCTGTAATATTCGGTGGCTTCCTGGCAAATTTTTGTTTGGTCGTTGAATTCATTCTCCAGAAACTGGATTTTTAAAACTATCCTTGAGCTGCCACGAATAGGCCAGCAAAAACAGCGATCTGATCAGAGGTCCTGGGCAAACTGTCAGCACAATTGCCAGTTGTAGAAATTAAAATTACTCAGTTCTCCTATCTGCTTTTGAAAATCTCATGTGAGATTTGAAGGATAAGATTTTAGAAAAGTGTATTTATTTTTGTGTCCGTAGACTATTACCCCTTGATGTCTAGCTCCTAAAATTATTGCCAATTCTGGGTTCACGAGTATTCTCCCAGTTGGGGCAGTTCTGTGAATTTTTAAAAATAAAATCCTTAGGAGACAAATAGCATAATATAGTCATAATATGGATGGGGAGAGGACTTTACCTTAAAGGTTAGTTTCTTTTCCCCTGGGAATCAGTGATGGCCAGGAAACTGTTCTGGAAGGTGGATACTTTTAAATGTGGAGAAGGTAGACTGAAGCAGGGGGAAAAAGAGTTTCTGTGGAAATGAGTGGGTGTGAAAGAATACCAGGAAGGAAGGGAAACTTTAAGGAAGGGAAATTCTGTAATTGAAAGAGAACGTTAGGGGCAAGGAAAACAGGGTAGAACGGTGGGATGCAGTGTGGCTGGAGAAACGTTAAGTCCTCAGCTGTGAAGAAGATTTGAGTGGATGGAGAAGGAGATAGTTACTGGAGGTGTGGAGAGTATAAAATGCACAAGTGGGGGTGGGGGAAGGAAATCCCTTGCATACTATGAATATTAGGGAAGAAGGGTTTTGGAGGAGAAGGAGGCCTCAGTCAAGAAGCAGTTAATGGGATTGCTTAGGAGCAGCAGTAGCTCCTGCTATGCAGTGGCTGCTTGGGATCAGGACTCACTGTTGGCAACCGATTGGCTCCCTCAAATGCAGATGCAAAGTGGTGACCTGGTGCCTGTGACCAGCGCTGACCTAGGCGGAGGTCTACCTCTCAGAGATCTGCCCTCCAGATGCACAGGGGGTAGTGATCTTCCAGGACAGTTTGATTGTCTGCAGAGGCTCTGCGGTGAAGGTGCCTGGATGTGTTTTTCCTAAACTCTTCCTCAAATTACGGATTCTGCTGTTGGAGCACCCATCCAGCTGCCTAGCAGCATCACCAATTAGGCAGGGTTGGTGCTGGGGTCCTCTGGGCAATTAGTGCTAGGGGAATTTCATTCTTTGTGCCCTTGGGATGCGGTCAGTTACTCAGAAGACTATGAGATGTCAGATTGTGGTGATAGAGAAATAACTGTAAAAAAGCGTATAAATATTAAAGAGAAAACTAAAAGTGCAAGAAAGGAAAAAAGCAAAAAGGAAATAAAAAGAAACAAAGTAATATTAGAAGTAGCTTCTAGTATTCTTTACAGTAGCTTTTAAGTACATTTCTAAACTTACTTCTTTCCGTAAAGTTACGTGATTCCCTTTCGCTAAACTATTTTTTCTAATCATCAAAAATATAAATCATGAATTCACTTTTTTCTGTTTTGTGCAAAAAGCTCATAAAGGGTTTCCAGATAGCAATAAATATAGAACTAACCTTTTCTTGATCAAAAAAAGTAAATTTAGCTATCTCAGCAAATTCCATAATTTTCATCAACCATTCCTCCATTGTGGGTTATGCCACATCTTTCCATACAATAATCTCATTGCATCTTGCAGAAATTATTAAGAAAATTATGGAATGTGCTGAAATAAGTAAATTGACATTTGAAATTAGAGAACAAGAAGATAAACAGTAGTACAAGATATGGGATTTATTTTATCAATGGCTAGATAATAAAACATGGAAATGAAATATGAACCATGAAATGAATGTTATAAATATATTTGAAAATAATTTTTTTGAAGCGACAGCCATAGTAAAATAAATGATAAATGATTTGACAATATGAGAAATTAGATAATTAGTAAATTCTGAATATGGGGATGAAGCACAAAAGATTTGTAACCGACTGACACACTGTTTGCAATTGTAATGGATGATGGATTTGTTTTATGTTTTGTTTAAAAAATAAAAATAAAAATTCAAAAAAATAATCTCATTGCAGTTATGTACAGAAACAGTTCCATGATTTTTTTCCAAGTGTTTGTCCAGTCCCCAAATAAAAACCTGGTTTCATTGTATATAAATCTTTAATGTCATATAAATCAGTGTCTGTATTTGCAACCAAAATTTTCTAGTTTTTTTTTATACATCCAGCAAACATGACAAAACGTCCCTTCTTGTCCACATTTCCAACCTAAATTTGAAGTGCCTTTATACATTCTAGATAATTTATCTGGTGACATATATCAACAATACATCATTTTATTAAAAATATTTTTTAAGATTGTAGTGTAAATTTCAATTGAGCGCTGTGCTGGCCTTGTGGTGAAAACCCTCGCCTCCTACTTGGAAGGTTGAGAGTTCAATCCCAGGTAGTGGCAGATGTTTCTCCTAGTGCTCAGGAAAAAAATATCTGCGAATTCCACATAGGTTTCAGGAAGGGCATCTGCCCAGTAAATGCTCAGTTCCATCCAGTTGCCTCTCATAAAAAGGGAGGTTTTTAGTGTAAATTTCAATTCTTTTAGCCACATATTTCCCATTGTTTCATCTGTATATTAAAAGCAAAATGTTCAGCCCATTTTATCCTACATTTTTTCACTTGTTCCTTTTCTGTTTCAAATCCCAATATATTTATATATTATAGCAATTGTATGTTCAGCATTGATTCCCAATTCTCTTTCGAACTCAGTCTTACAGTGTTCAAAGCAATACATTATTTTATCTAAATCTAATAATGATAAACAAGGCAACCATTGATGGCTATTATCTCTCTGCCAGCAGTTCCTCTGTTTTTAGTTCCAGGAGAAGCAAGAAGAGCTGGAGACCTTGATGAATGCTCTCTTCAAGGGAGTCTTTGTTCACCGCTATCGGTGAGTGACATCAGGGTCCGTGTAAAAGGAGCAGGCTCAGGATCTGGACTCTGATTGCTGTCCTGGTTCTTTGCTTTCCAAGGGACCTCATACCTGAAATCCGTGCTATTTGCATTGGAGAGATGGGTCAGTGGATACAGCATTACACCGCTTCCTTCCTAACTGATGGTTACCTCAAGTACATTGGCTGGACTCTGCATGACAAGGTGGGTCACCAGGGCACTTGCAGAAAATGTATTTGTAGGGCATTCAGGAATTAAAAGTTTATGCTAGATATTTAAGGCACTCCTATTACTTAATTCATGTTTCCAGGATCATGAGCCCATCTGCTTATTTGAACAGAGCTATGCAAAACATTTGAACAAGATGCTTTGTAACATATGAGAGCATGTCCATAGCAGTTGTTTTTGAAGCGCTAAAGCAGCCACAACTTCTTTGAATACATGCACTTCTTCAAAAGATGCTCCCAGCTGCTTTGCAAAAGACATGGCTGCTTTAATGATTTGAAAGGGTGTTTTGCATGTGCTCTTTGCATATTGTGAAGGATCTTTTTCAGATGGTCTGCACAGCTACACGGTTGCCATCCTCTTTAAGATTGTTGGTGCTAATTCAGTACAGTGGGATGTTTCATAGTGGCATTGATGCCCACTCCTCTTTACACCTACAAGAAAAAATTCGTGGGATTGGCAGCAGTAGTTAATTCTTCCTTGCCCATTTTCGCAGACACCTGTGCAGCCTTTCAACATGAGTGGCTATGCCTTTTGCATACAGAGAGAAGTGATGCTGCCAGCTATCCTAGTTGTATTAATAACTGATGCAGGAAGGATGAGTTAACACTGTTGCGGTCTTTAATGTGGTCTTAATGTGACCATAAGTGGGAGATCTAAGATTGTGGTCATTGAATGAAGTGATCGCATGACATCTCACTTTAACAACCAGTGCTTAGCGACAGGGATTCTGGGCCCGATCATGGTCGTAAGTGGAGCACTACCTGTACAATACGATTTGGTTCTCTTTCTCATTCGAAAGCTGTTCATGGCTTGGTCCTGGTGGCCTTAAAGCTGTCTTCCTCATCTTTGAGTCAGCAAGGAATGCTTTGTATCCCATTCCCCTCATCTAGAAGTGAAAGGGTTAGGGTCTTAGAAGTATATCTTTCCTGTTGCAGTCTCATTCTTAAGGAACAGTGTATCCCATAGAGTAAGTGTGACCTACTTCCTATTCGTATTTAGAAGAAAACACAATTATATTTACCAGGATTATGGATTTTAATATTATTGGGTGTGTTTAGGAAAAGGCCATGTATCCATTTGTCTGAGAGGCTTTAATTTGAATCCGTACTAAGCAGAGGACCAGGCTTGATGGCCTATATAGGTTGTTCCAGTTCTGTGGGTCTTTTTACTGTATATTGATTCATGTATTGGGCTTGTTACACAACAAAACCCTTCAGCTGACACACCCATTTTTGTATTGATTGTGATGATTAAAAGAAGAATGAAGTTGAAACAGATGAGGACTTTTCCTAAAATTGAAATCCCTTCAGGATTGAATGTAGAGATCCAAATTTCATTGCCCCTTGTGGAGAGCTGTCTATCACCTTCTGCCCATTATTCTCCATTTTCCTGGTCTTGCAGTAATTTGCAGAGTAACTCTGTTATTCTGTGTAATGCATTCTCTGTTAGTAAAGAGCAACATTCCCATTTGGACTATTATGTTGTCTCAATCTTTGCTTCTTAAGGGTCAAATGTCTCTCGATAGAACAGTTTCCAATTTCTGACCATTTTTGTTGTCCTTGCCATTTTCTGAACCTGATGCTGGTTGGGTTACTTGTCAGAGCTGACAAATGCAAATTCACTACAAAGGGAAAGACTTGGTGTTACTCATCACTCTGCAGTTTTTAGACATTATTTTATTTCAGGCTTTTTGAAATCAAAAAGCCTGACAATGGCTTTGTCTTGCAGCAGGGGGAAGTCCGACTTGGGTGCCTACTTGCATTGCAAGGCTTGTATTGCAGCCCAGAGACTGCCTCGCAGATGGAGCTTTTCACCAGTCGCTTTAAGGTAAACAGCCGTAATATGTCCCACTTGCTTTGACGAGCAGACCCACCTTAAAAAGGTGACAGGAATTTTGTTAATGGAATAGATCACTTTGTCCTCAGTTTCTCTTTGTATACTCTGGAAACGTCCACTTTTCTATCTTGCTGCTATCTCATTCCGAGTTCATGAGCGAGAATCCTCAAAAAGCTGTTGGCAGTTGGGCAATATATAAATTAAGTAACTAACTAACAAAAGCTTTCAGAAATAAACCAGACAACCTGTAACTTCTTGGGTCACGGTTTCAGAGATATTTCATTACCTAAACAGAGAATCAGAATGGCCACAGGTGAGGAGCTACTTCTGACCTTCCTTCCAGCTTCCCCATTGAGTTTCCTTATGGGAAGCTGGCACAGAACTTCACAAATCTTCCTTGCTTTCCTTCCCCCTCCCTCCCTCCTTTCTTCCTTGCCTTCTTCCTTTTCTCCCTCCATCATTCTGTCATTATTTATCCTCCCATTCTCATCCTCCCTTTCCTTCGCTCCCTTAAATTGCTGCCAACATCCTTATTTACTTTGCTTGTGGGAAGCTTGCAGGAAGGGTCAGTGGGGAAGCCAGCAGGAAGTCCCAAGGCCAACAGGCAGGTAAGTGGCTGCAGCTGGGTGGGAGTGAAGGGGTGTGCAATGGTTCAAATCAGGAAAGATATCTGTAGGTGCACAAGGGATGCCATATGGGGGAAGAATGTCTTGGGGGGTGTGAGAGATGCTATGCAGGACGGCGGGGGAGCAGCTGGGGGGGGCAGCATATGGCAAGAAGAATGCACAGGGGATGTGGAGGGGATGCGTGGGTTGTGAAAGGTCCCCGGAATGGGGTGCTTAGTAGTGTGCAAGAAGTGCCATGCAGGTCAGGGATGGTGTGGGTTGAGAAAGGTGTGTGTGCGCACTCCAAAGGTGCTGCATGGGTCGGGAAAAGTGCACAGATTGGGGAGGGTGTGAGGTAGTGCGCAAGAGATGGATTGGGGAAGGCGTGCAGGGGGAGAAGATGTGTTAGGGAGCAGCACAGGTGAGAGTGCGGGGGGGGGGAATTGGCATGGGTCAGGAAGGGTATGGGGTTTTTTTCTCCCCCTCTTTCTAGCAGATGGGTAAGTGACCGTTGCTGGGTGGGAGAGAGCAAGGAAGTTTTAATTTGGTTGGAGCAGGGGTGAAATGCTCCTGGTTCGGACTGGATCATCTGATCCGGTAGCAATGATGGCCGGTGGTTCGGAGAACAGGTAGCAAAAATCCCTGTGCCCCACCCCCATGCCCAGCTGAGCCGCGCGATCATCAGAGGCTGTTTTTTTTTAACTTTTAAAACCATTTTTTCTACAACCTCTTCAGCCGAAGAACCTGTAGAAAAAATGCTTTTAAAAGTTAAAAAAAAAAAAAGTTGGCCACGCCCACCCAGTCACATTACCCTCCCTACCAAGCCACGCCCACAGAACCGGTAGTAACAAATTTTAGATTTCACCCCTGGGTTGGAGCCAACCTAATCTTGAATGAAACAGTTCTATGATAGGTGTATTTTATTAGAGATGTCATATTGGCAAATCTGGGAACACCTGAATCTGAAAGCTTCCAGGTTTTCCCCACCCAAAGGAAAGTCCAAGTTCCTGCCCAGCACCCACATCTCCATCACATGGTTCAATCAAAGCACCATCCCAACTGGAGATGCCTCCCAGTCACACCCCTCCAGGTGCAGGGCAAGATGTCCTTGACTCTCTGATAAAGGAATGTTGTTATGACTATATATCACCCCTGCTCCATACAATCCCCCCTCCCAGTTTCCCACAGCACTAAATGTGGCAGGCCTGAAGGCCCAATGCAAAAGATGGCTTCCAGACCTGACAATAGGGATATTCCATTATCTACCACCCAGGAATAAAGAGTGGATCAGGCTGTAAAAACTAAAATAAACATATACAATTACAGATGTAATTTAAGTATAGCACTTAGGCCAGTAAGGCATTTGACAAAGTAGACCCCAATCTGCTTCTAGATCAGTGGTGGGTTGCTCCCGGTTCGCACCGGTTCGTGCGAACCGTTGGCGAAAATGTAGCCAAGGTCGCAGAACTGGTAACGGTGGCCAGCTGGCCACGCCCCCGAACCGGTTCCCCTGGTCGCCAGTTGCTTGCCCCGGCCACCATGCTTGTTGCCGCTATGTTCCTCACACACGCGCATCCCATTGCCTTGCAAGTCCAATGGGATGCATATGCGCGAGGAACATGGCAACAGCAGCAGCTTTTTCTGCCGGTATGTTTTGGCGGCCTGCAGAGAAAACGGCTGCCAAAGAAGCCTTTTCGGAGGCTTTTTTGCCTGTTGCTTTCCAGCAGTTGCGGCTGGCTGGGGGCTGCCGAAAACTACAGTCAGCTTGCCTTCCGGACTGGGACCAGCCATGGAAGGTAAGCACCCTAAACAACGAGGTGGTGGTGGGGGAGGAAGGCGGGCAAGCGGGCCTGGCCACGGGGATTTCTGGGACGCCCCTCCACTGCTCCCGCACCACTGATGCCTGCAGCGGCAAAAGACACGCAGGAAAAGTCCCTGGGAGTTCCGGGACTCCCTGCCGCCGCTGCCGCTTTGCGCCCCCCCGCTGACGATTTCAGCTTGAATCGTCAGAGCCATTTAAAAGAAAAAAACTTTTTTTCTTTTAAATGCCTCTCACGATCCGAGCTCTGATGATCCCAGCTCAGTGATTAGGCAACTCATCTGGGATCGTCAGAGCTTTTTGAAAGCATTTTTTTAACAAAATGGTTGTAAAATGGTTTTAAAAAATGGTTTTAAAAGTAAAAAAAAAAAAATTGGCCACGTCCACCCAGTCACATTACCCCACCACCACCATCACCAAGCCATGCCCACAGAATCTAAAAAATTTTTTTAGATTTCACCACTGAGGGTGGGAGAGAGAGAGTGAAAGAAAGAAATAGAGGGAGAGAAAAAGAGACAAAGAAAATGAGAGAAAGAAAAAAAAGAAGGGAGAGACCAGAAAGAAAGATACAAAGAAAGAAAGAAGGAAGGAAAGGAAGGGAGAGAGGGAAAAAAGAATGAAAGAAAAAGAGAAAAAACAAAGAAAGAGAAAGGAAGGAAGGAGGGGAAACAGAAAGAGAGAAAGAGAAAGAAAGAAGGAGGAAGGGAGAGGGAAAAAAAGAAAGAAAGAAAAAAAAAAAAAAAGAAGGAAGGAAGGAAGGAAGGGAGAGACAAAGAAAGAGAGAAAGGAAAGAGGAAGGGAGAGGGAAAAAATGAAAGAAAAAGAAAAAACAAAGATGAAGGAAGGAAGGGAGAGACAGAGAGAAAGAAAGAAAGAAGGAAAGAGGAAGGGAGAGAAGGAAAAAAAAGAATGAAAGAAAAAGAGACAAAGAAAGAGAAAGGAAGGAAGGGAGAGACAGAAAGAAAGAGAAAGAAAAGGAAAGGAAGGGAGAGAGAAAAAAGAAAGAATAAAAAAAGAAAAAAACAAAGAAAAAAAGGAAAGGGAGAGACAAGAAAGAAGGAAGGAAGAGGAAGGGAGGGGGAGAGAGAAAAAAAGAAAGGAAGAAAAAGAAAGAGAAAGAAAGAAAAAGAAAGAAAGAAAGAGGAAGGAAGGAACAGAAACCCTGGCACTAGACGTGGCTTCAGAAGAGGCTTTGAAAACAGGACAGCAATCTAGGGCTGGAAGGGACCTTAGAGGCCAACTAGTCTAACCCCCTGCTCCAGCAGGAAACCTTACTGGATTATTTTGGTGCCTCTAACAGAGAGAAAAATTGTCAGAAAGGAGAAGGAGTTTACTAGGATAAGGCTGCCATGCAGAGAAAGGCAGAGATAGTCCTTGATTTATGACCAGAATTGAGCCCAAAATTTTGGTTGCTAAGCAAGAGTGTTGTTAAGCGAGTTTCACCACATTTTACTCAATCCATAATCTCTCCTGGCTCTAACAGTCATGTGCAGGCTAGGGAAGTAAATCTGAAGGTGTGTGTAATGTTCTAAATGTACAGAAGTTATAGTTAAATGTGTGGCAGAAAGTGGACTCTGGGTGTGTTTTTCCAAATGTAGTAAGTGAGGTTGAATATGTATAGTTTTAGAAGAGGTGTGTGTGTGTGTATGTGTACACACACATACAGTATATATAGTAAATAATGTATCTTTTTGTGTGCCTATACACTATGCTATGTAATATGTACGTACACATATGGCATATGCACATAGGATTAAATAGTATATTTTGGATGTTCAGTAGTAGTAAATAAATAGACAGGGAAATTGTATTTCATTGAGGCCTTTGAGGCGAGGAGAGGCCAGGCACCCTAACCATAACCCTTGACATGAGTGATGTCAAGCTGGCCACACCTACCCAGTCACATGACCACCCTGTTGTGACTCCGACCCCCGAGCCCATCTTATCGGAGGGAGAAGACTCCGAAAGTGAAGGAGAGGAGTTGGCAAGGCCTCCCTCTCCAGGACCCTCCTCTCTGGCAATGCCTCAGGTGTCTTCTGAAGGAGAAGAGATAGGCCAGGAGCCAGGCATTTCTGAGCAGCCGCAGTTAGACAGCGACGGAGATAAGTCTTGGCTGCATCCCTGACAGCGTCGGAAAGACAAGTGCACGCAGCAGAGAAGGAGGCGTGCCAGAGATTAAGCTGAGTCACTGGACCACACCCCACAGGGGATAAAAGGGGGTGTGGTGGCCATTCAGACTTTGTGACGGACAAAACTGAAAGCTAGCAAGTCATTCTGCATTTCTGGAACTTTGTTATATGCTCTGCTTGGACTGATTTTTTGGACTGGACTTGACTATTCTTTGGTTTTTGTGGACTTTGATGTTTTCGGTCGGAGGAGATAAACCTCCCTTTGTAAGTGAAGACTGTTGGCAAGCAGCCACTGGGTTGCTGCCAATTCTGTTATCAAAGGAAATTCTTGTCTGCTGGTTTATTTTAACTCTTGGTCGACTGCTGGTGTGCGTGTGTGAGCCGGGGACAGAACACACCCAGCTACGCCCACCCAGTCACATGACCACCTAGCCACGC